AAAACTTCCCTTTCTGAATTTAGTGCTACGTTTTAAGAAAGGTTCCTACACGTTTTACTGATTATTTATCTGGCCACATATCTTCAGAAGAAAAAGAGACAAACTAGCACACGGTTAAGACATATAAAGTATATTATCTGCTCACTATAAAGTAGAAAATCTCAACAAACTTGATTATCTGTTTATGTGTCTACACTACTTTTAGTAGCCGGGCTGTTAGGGTTGCTTACCACTCGGTACAATTCTGAATATTTCGCAACGATAAAATCCCCTTTGAGTTCTGGTCTGATTTGATTTTCAGGCACAGCAAGAAACTCTTTGAACCAGCCAAACGTGTGGTTGACCATGTTCCTAACCACCCTCCTCTGCGTTCTGCCCGTGTTGGCGGTCCGCTTCATGCTCCTGCTGATCCGTCCCACCATCAACGACAAGGTGAGAAAATCGCGGTGCTATTTGAACGCCATCTCACTCTGCTTTGAAGATCCTAGTTTGGAAAGCTTAGTGGGATCATGTAAAGAGGTCTGTTATGGCAGCTGTAAAGGTGACCTGACCGATGGCCGTCCTGAACAGGGTTTCATTGAGAGTTGATGGATCTTAAACAGAACATTTGAATTATCTATCTGAGCAAATGTATTCCATCCATCCATCCATCCATTATCATTACCACTTATTCCCTAATGGGGTCACAGGTAGAACTGGAGCCTATCCCAGTGGTCAATGGGCGAGAGACAGGGTACACCCTGGACAGTCCACCAGTCCATAGCAGGGCCACACAGAGACACACAAGGACAAAAAACCATGCTCACGCACATTCACTCCTATGGGCAATTTGGGTTAGTCCAACCAACCTAACATGCAGGTTTTTGGACTGTGGGAGGAAGCCGAACCCCGACAGAACCCATACAGACACACTGAGAACATCTAACTCCACCCAGAAAGGTCCTGGTTCCTCTAGAGGAACTCGAACCCAGAACCCTCTTGCTATGAGGTGATGGTGCTCACCACCACATCACTGTGCCGCCATGCGAATACATGTCTTTTTTTTTTTTAATAAAAGCCTCCATTGAAGTCTTGTTCAACTTGCTCCTCTCTAGGTGAGATACAAGATGCGTGAGGAGGCTCTGCCGGCGCCGGCTCCTCGCCACCGCCGCCGGCCCCGGACCTTCAGCACCCGCCGCTCCGGCTACGCCTTCTCCCACTCCCAGGGCTACGGCGACCTGGTCACCTCCCGCAAGTTCCTGCTCAAGAGACCCGTCAGGAGCCAGCTGAACTTTTTCACACAAACCGACGGCCCTGTGGCCACGGAGCCCCAGCACTTCCGCACCATAAGTGAAGAGCCGGAGCAGAACTCGGAGCGCTGCTAGACAGGAAGCGCGCAGCAACCGGAACACTCCAGAGAATGTGAAAACGTTGAGTTTACAAAAACCGCAGCCTTTAAGCCACCCTTCAAAAAACACTTCAAGCTTTTTCATCTTAAATTTCTATCGTCTTTTACCACGTTAACAGCATCTGGAGTCAACTCTCCGAATGGAAATTTGGGCTTTTAAATCAGAGCCTTGGAGGCTCGGTGCCTTTTTGTTTCTGTTATAGATGGTGAACCCATCCAAGGTTTGGTTGAATGGACAGATTAAATAAATACATTAACGTTTCAATTTTGTGTTTGGTTCTGTGTTGTAAACTGCAATAGCTAAGCAGCGTGGCAAGTAGAGGTGACAAAGTGAGCTTTGAAAAAAAATTGTTTTTAAAGGAAGAAGTTAGGCATGTTAGACATACTGTGCAAAATGTTTCTAGATTTTTACTCAATATTTTTGTCTGCTGTAGGAAAGCAAAACTCGGCTCATATAATGTACACTGTCTGTTGTGAATGGGTTCATAAATGTCCTCAATTCATTTTTTTTATGCAAAACAGGCTTTGATGTGTTATCTTTGCTTTTGTTTAATTTTCGATTATGATGAAGCTATGCTTATGTGTGTAAAAAACAAATAAAATAGATACAATAAAAACACTGCATTTACATTTCACCAAGGTCGGTTGTCTATTGTTTTTACAGAATAAACTTTCAAAAATCAGATATTTGTAAAAAAAAAAAACATAATGAGTGTTCATAAGTTCCAATTATATGGATAGTGGTTTGAACATAACTTGTTGTATTAATTTTCCGTCTCAATTAAATTGTAAAATTAGGATAAATTGCAACCAGTGAATCAGCTCAGACTCTGGGGGCCTCAGGTAGTGGAGTCTGGAAAAGCCTGGAAAAGTCTTCCTCAACAAGTGAGAGAAAAAAAGAAAATCAGGCATATTCAAATATTAGAGCTTTTGTCAAAGGATCTATTGGGTAGATCAGGATTTTCATCAAACCCTGTAACTGTAAATATCTGAAAGGTGATGAGTTGGTTGGCCAGAAACAAACACAAGTCAGAAAAGGGAAATGATATGTTGGGTTGTAAATGTAAAGGGATGAACACAGAGGATTAAATGCAGTGTGCCAACAGGATGCAGACTGTGTTCTGTGTAACAGCAGTAATTCCCCCCCCACTCCCATTATCCTCTTTATTTTGACACATTTAGGTGGTAAAGTTTCTGTGGGATAACAAAAGTATATCAAAGCTGATATTTATGATTTAAAAAAGCAAAATCAGTGTGTTTGTGTGTGTAAGTGAAATTTCCTGGACAAGATGCAGCTGTAACCAGAGAACAACACTGGCTAAATATTTGCTGTTTCTTCATTTTCTTTGGAATTCTCCATGTGAAAGTTTGCACATCCAGATTTTTCTAACATTTTTGGCATGTAAAAAAAATGCAAGACTCAATGACCTCCAGGGAGGAGACATTTTTTTAATGTATCCATGCACGTTTAGGTTTTCCCCCTGACAAGGAAACTCGTTTTGAATGTTCTGTTAAATAATGGGGAAACCTATTTGATGCATGCGTTTGTGTATTTTAAGGCTCTGGAAGGTCTTTTTCTCCTTTCAGTTTCGATTTTCGGAACGTAATCAATACACTCTGACATGTCAGAAATCAAATGATGAAAGAATTTAATTTAGGAAAACATCAAAGATGGAAACATTTAAAATGAACACATTTATTGAGTCATTTCACTCATACATACAAAAATACATTAATAAAAGTCATGATATATATTTTACATAAAGAGCATTTTTCCCTGACTCATCGGCCTGTTGATCAGTCCCTGTTTTCAGGGCTGTTCTGGGATCTGTGCT